ACGCAGCCCGTGTGACACCTGCTGGGTGGGGGGGAGGCGGGATGGTGGACGCACAGAGGAGACCCCCCAGCCATCATGGCCCCATCTGCCCCTGAGCTGTTCCCTCGCCCCCTGCCCTCGCTGGCATCCCCATCTCTGTTCCAGGAGGGACGCTGGCACCCACAGAAATTGGGGTGTGCTGTCCCCGCTCCAGACCACTAACCTATTAACTAAAGAGAGGCTGCGTGGCCTAGTGGATAGAGCACTGGGACGCGGGAGACCTGGTTTCTGTTCCCTTGGCCAGCTGGATGACCTTGGACAAGTCACCGCATCGCCCCGTGCCTCAGTTTCCCCACCCACCCTTTGCCTATTTAGACTGAGCTGTGAGAGACCGGCAAGGGGGGGTGGGCAGTGTCCCTGGGTCTGGGCGGCGCCTGGCACAAGAGGGGGACCCCCATCTTGGCTGGATTCTGTGCAACCAAGGTCCCCCAGGTCTTGGTGTTGCCAGGTGCGGTGGGATTTCCCTCTATAGAGGCACCTGCCTTCCTGGCACCTGAGAGCCATCTAGGGCCTGGAGGGTGCATGTCTCCCATCTGGGTTTCGAGTCCCTCTGGCTGCTTGTTGTTTAATGCATCCCCTTGGGGGTCGGGCTCGAGTTTGAGGGGGCTGGTACCGGAGATCTGGCCGCCTTGAGCTGCAGGTGGCTGTGAAATGTCCCAGCTGCTGTGTGTGACCCGCTGACCTTCTCCTCCCCCCCAGGATCCCCGGTGCCTCACCCCGGCTCGGTCATCACTGTCTCCTCCATCCCCATGGTGGCTGCGGCCTCGGTGACGGCGTCCGCCCTGCTGCTGGTGGCCATGGTGTGTGTCCTGGTGGGGCCGAAACCCTGCAGCCACAGGTGCTGGAGGTGAGCTCCGCCGCCTTACTGGGGTGGGGGGGGGGTGTTCCCCGGCTGCAGCAACGATGCTGGGGGGGCAGGTGCAAGCCTGTGCTCCCTTCTCCCATGGGTTGATGCTCCCCCGGGGGTCCAGCCCCCACCCTCTGTCTCTCCCCTTCCTACCCAGCCCCTCGGGACGCGTGGGTCTGACTCGCCCTCGGGCCTCGACTCATCTTGGCCCGTTCAGTCCGTGTGACCCCGAGGCGGGACTAGGGGGCACCACGCTGCAGGGGACGGGGCTGCGCAGAGGGTGCTGGGGAAACTGACGCCCACCGAGAAGGGAAGTGACTTGCGCAGGGTCAGTGACAGGACCAGGGCTCTCAGCTCCCCTGCGCTAACCACTAGCCCCCGCACTCCTCCCAGAGCCAGGGAGAGAACCCAGGCGTCCTGGCTCCTAGCCCCTGCTCTAACCACTAGACCCCTTGCACTCTACCCCCACTACTCCCTGTTGTCATGGCAGTCCTACCCCCCCCTTGCGGTGGGGCCCCAGCGGGGGGGGGAGAAGGGTCTGGGGCCCTGGGGCGCAGCTGTGAACTTGACGAGGTCTCCCCGTCCCTGAGCAGGTGGTACGAGCCCATGGAGGAGTCCGAGGTGAGCACCGTCGATAGCTGCCCAATGCCGCTCCCGTCTTACGAGGAGGCCGTCTATGGCTCCCAGGGGTGCCCCGTGCCGCCCGCTCCCCCCACGCCGACGCCCCTCATCCTCTCCAGGGGCCTGGCCCCCCCCATCGGAAACAGCCGAGCCCTGTTGGAGTCCGGAGGCCGCCACCCCGCCCCCTTCCTACCAGGAGAGCCAAGCGGCAGCTGCGGGCGGCTCCGGCCTGGCCCGGCCCACGGTGCCCCCTGCCTGGTTCCTGTTCCCCGGGGCTGCAAAGGACCCGCGCAGGTAGCCGGGGGACTGGGGGTCCCCGGCAGGGCCCCGACACTACAGCAGAGACGCCTCATTTGAAGCACATGCAGCCTGCTCCATCTTTTAACTTGCTGGGTGGGGGGGGAGAGGACCATTCCCCCCCCTCCCCAGTTACTCAGCATCTCGTGAAGCTGATGGGACCGAAGCAGCCCCCCTCGGAGGGGCGTGTGCAGCCTTCTGCTTGGATGGAGGCCCCCGGGGCTGAGGGACCGGCCTTCTGCACCCCCTCCCCAAGCTAACGGCTCTGTCTCCGAGGGGCCGATCTTTGCCAGCCGGCTGGTAGCCGCCGGCTCAGCGTGTTCTGACCTCTCTGCACTGCCGCCCCGTGGGATCCCACTTTTCCCTGCCCCCCCCCCACTCCTCCCACCAGGGTGTCAGTTCCCAGCAGAGCCGTCAAGGGTTAACTCCGGGTACAGCTGCCACCTCCCTCCAGCTGTGAGGATGGGGGGGGGCAGATTTCCCCCCCCCGGGTTCCTAATGCTCTGGTGGACATCCCCTGGGCTTCTTCCATTCTTGGGGGGGCCTACTCTGTGGTCCGCAACCTCCCCCCACCCCCCAAAAAGAGACCCTGCTCCCCCCAGC